TATTGAAGAAACGTTTCGCCACACAGTGGCTTCATCAGTCCAATACAAAGTAGAAATGGGTAAGGAGAGTAGAAGTATGAGGTAATCAGTCCCTCAACCTGGATTCGATGTGTTCAGTCCATCACTCTTGTAGTAAGTGCAGCATAGGGCCAGAGAGGTGGCTTATATACTGCTGTGAGATGAGTTGAAGCAGGAGGAGGCGGGATCTTAGTGGGACCTGCCACTAATGTAAGTAGGTCATCGTCCAAAGGTTTGGGCAAGCGTTGAAGTCTTTGTACCAAGATTCCATGATGTTGCAGTGTCTGACAGATGTGATGAATGGTTTTGAAAACCGACAAGTTGAAGAATTGAGACACTTGTCGGTTTTCAAAACCATTCATCACATCCCTCGACTGAAGAAGCCTACTGTGTAGGCGAAACGTTTCGAAATAAAGATACCTAACTGTTGCATATGTGTCTTACCTAACAATCTGTCGGTATTTTATACCATTTTAATGTTCTCTCTGCTACCTATTTGTCAACCATGCCTCTATCCAGGAAAAAATTTCTCCTCCTATTCCATGTGCCTTAATTTTCCTCAATAGTCTCTGATGTGGGACCCTGTCAAAAGCCTTACTGAAGTCCATATACACAATATCATATTCATTACCATGATCTACCTCCTCAAATACCTTAGTGAAAAAAGTTAATAAATTCGTAAGGCAGGAACGCTCCTTTGTAAAACCATGCTGAGATTCGTTGATTAATTTATGCTTTTCAAGGTGGCTACGAACTGCCTCGGCAATCTCCCTTCCAAGCTACCCAAGATTTTAGACTCTATAACCCCACTCGGTACATCATCAGATGCAGCATTCTCCACCTGACCTCAGCATTCTGAACCTGACTATAAATACTCGCGTACCTTCCACCCCAGGTAGATCTGTTTGTAGAATTGAGACACTTATGCAACACATGGGAATCTTTATTGAAGAAACGTTTCGCCACACAGTGGCAATACAAAGTATTGGACTGATGAAGCCACTGTGTGGCGAAACGTTTCTTCAATAAAGATTCCCATGTGTTGCATAAGTGTCTCAATTCTTCAACTTGTCGGTTTTCAAAACCATTCATCACAGATCTGTTTGTGACTTGAAAAGCCCACTGTGTGAGCGAAACGTTGTCAACAAAGGATCACATTATACTGCATATGTGTTTATATTTCCAATAATGTTTGTTTTGTGTAAGTACATTCCTCTTCAAGAAAACAATGGTTAAAGACGCGGATAGCCCTCGAAAAGAAACTGGTAAGGCTAATTAATGTAAGTGTGATGGTGTGAATGGAAGTGCATATGATCATCATTGTTGACAGGTTTTCCACACACTTTGAAAAGAAGGCTGTTGTCTGGAGACCTGCACAGGAGGAAGGCGAGGAAAGAAAGTCTGCCACCTGCCAATGAGAACTTTATAGATGGAGGGCAAGGACAGTAAGACGTATTGGATAGAATATCAAGATATTATCAAGAAATATTGGCCATGAAATGGAGCTTGATTTATCAACCAGGAATATAGCTTACTTTATCAGCCAGGAAATGGTGCCTAATATATCAACCAGGAAATGGTAACTGGAATAATGGTGTTTAATTTTTCGGTCTTCAGGTTCCCCGTTAAGACTGGCAGGTACAGCACTGAGACGGCTGCCCATTCCAAAACAATGCTGGTGGTAATTACTTTAATACATTGTATGAAGCTGAAGCAACTAGACACAATGATGAATATAAGTCACAATAACGTTGTTTATATAAAATACCCACACTTATGAATAAGTACTTAAGACGACGTTGTAGTCCGCCCTTGACAACTGTCAATTCACAACTTAAATTCAGTCATAAACAGTATATGATACCATGTGCAACACTGGGTATCTTTACTGATGTAACGTTTGAGCTGCGATGCAGGCTTCGTCAGTAGAATATAGGAATAAATTACAATCCTGGAGTCAGTAAACGAAGTGGAGAGTTAGTCTGAGGTAATCAGTTCCTTAACCTTGGTAGAGACCAAGAGATTATCTTTCCACCAACACAGGTGTATCCATGATGTCTTCCATCAAGGCTGGGGGACTGATTACCTCAAACTATCTTTCCACATTGTCTACTGTCTCCAGAATTGTAATTCACGAACATCAAAATGGTATACAATACCGACAAGTTGGTAGGTAAGACACAGTTAGTTAGGTAAGACACATATGCAACAGTTAAGGGTGATGGACTGATTACATCGTCTTCAAGTGTCTTCTGCTTCTATCAACTTTTCTGTACTCGACTGAAGAAGCCTACTGTGTAGGCGAAACGTTTCGGAATAAAGATACCTAACTGTTGCATATGTGTCTTACCTAACAATCTGTCGGTATTTTATACCATTTTAATGTTCAAGACACAGTTAGGCAACTTTATTCCGAAACGTTTCGCCAACACAGTAGGCTTCTTCAGTCGAATACAGAAAGTAGGCAGGCACAGTAGAGATGTGAAGACGATGTAATCAGTCCATCACCCTTGAAGTCGTAGAATTTGAGGTTGTCAGTCCCTCAGCCTGGAGACGTTCAGAGACTAAGAGATTATCTTTCCACCAACACAGGTGTGACGTGTACTTAGCTCTGTGAAGACCTGTTTGCGCGCTCTCTACGAATTGAAGCACGATGCCTTCCATCGAGCAACTTACCAACAGCTTAAGGAAGAATTGAGGATAGCGAAGATGGAGATTCGGCGACTGACCGAGGAAAACAAGAAGATTCGTAGTAGTAATCCTGTTTTGAGTCCTCAGGTCAAGAAGGGAAACTGGTCAGTGGCTGGACAGCAGGGAAGGAAGTTGACGATCAAGAAGACGAATGGAAAGGTAGAAACGATGAAGAAGAAAGAGACTGCCGTGGAAACTGTTTTGGAAACATCTAATACATTCTCAGTGCTACCCGACGAATGTGAGTCGACTACTGGGAACGTCACGACGAACGACATCAAGGAAGGTAAGAATATTGTTGTTGTTGGGGATAGCCAAGTTAGGTATAGGGATAGGGCGTTCTGCTTGAAGGACAGGAGTAGGAGACAGAGGGTTTGCTTTCCTGGGGCTGGGATGGAGGATATTGTTAGCCATCTGGATGACATCATGAGAGGTAATGGGAGCAATCCTATTATCTGTCTCAGTGCTGGAGGCAACGATGTTGGCAGACGTAGGAATGAAGACCTGATTAGCAGGTATAGGTCAGCAATAGAAATAATTAGGAGGAAGGGTGGGAACCCTGCCATATGTGGTATTGTGCCAAGGAGAGGAGTTGGAAATGAATGGTTGTCCAGGGCAATTGGTGTCAATTGCTGGCTGGACAAATACTGTAAGGAAAATGCGGTAACATTCATTGACAACTGGGACCTCTTCTATGGCAGAAATGACATGTATGCCAGGGATGGGGTTCACTTATCTAGGTCTGGGGTGGGAGCACTGGCAACTGCAGTGGAGGGAGCTGTTAGGACTTTAAACTAGGAATAGTTAGTGGTATGGGTTTTGGCAGGAAAACAGTGAAGTCCCAGTGTACATAAGAGGATATCTCTCCAAGAGAGAACCCGCAGTAATGGATTTAAATTAGATAAGTTTAGATTTAGAAAGGACATAGGAAAGTATTGGTTTGGAAATAGGGTAGTAGATGAGTGGAACAGTCTACCTAGTTGGGTTATTGAGGCTAGGACTTTGGGTAGTTTCAAATTTAGGTTGGATAAATACATGAGTGGGAGGGGTTGGATTTGAGTGGGACTTGCACATCAGAGCTTATTTCTTGGGTAGCATTGAAAATGGGTGATGGTAAATGTTTGTTAGTGGGATGAATTGTAAAGGCCTGCCTAGTTGGGACAAACAGGCCTGCTGCAGTGTTCCTCCTTTCTTATGTTCTTATGTTCTTATGGATGTCTTCCATATGGCTGGGGTGATGGATTACCTCAAACTATCTCTTTCCACATTGTCTACTGACTCCAGAATTGTAAATATCACCTGTATATACTGTTGAAACTACAAGGTAGACGAAACGTTTCCGGCCAATGAACATATTCTTGAAGTGGTACAATGTGTTATCTTAACTCATCACCTATAGCATATAAGCTTAGATACAGTAATAATATTTCCAGAAAAATCTCTGCCCGCCTTGACCCAGAGAACGTTGAGGAACTTAAGTGCAACATTTCTGATGATGACTGATTTCAACTAGTTAGACTTGTAATAATGTTGGTAGGATTTCTAGCGAAATATGTAAAGTAAAAGGACACAGTGTAACTAATGTGGACATTTTATTGTGGCAACGTTTCGCTTCTCCAGGAGCTCTGTCAAGCTCTGGACGAGCGATAACGTTGCACAATAAAATGTCACATTAGTTGCAATTGTTGGCCTTTTACTTTACATCAGTCTAGTTAGATTGTTAAAGATGTGTCAATCGATATTTAATGTCGCCTGCTTTTTTCTTTCTGGACTTTTTATACACGTCAAACTCCAGCCGAGACGTTCCACAGGTGGAGAGAGAATCTACACTACCGCCATGTAAAACGTAATGCGAATTTCATGTCCTGTCTGTGACAGTAATGCACAAAAAAAAACACTGTACTTATACTTAGTCTCTGTGAAGACCTGTTTGCGCGCTCTCTACTGAATAATGATAGCAAGAAGATTTGCTTCCTCGAGCAACTTTACCAAACAGACGTAAGGAAGAATTGAGGATGGCGAAGATGGAGATTCGGCGACTCTCTGACCCGTGAAAAACAAGAAGATTCGTAGTAGTCCTCCTGTTTTGAGTCCTCATGTCAAGAAAGGAAACTGGTCTTTGGCCTGGACATCAGGGAACGAAGTTTGACGATCAAGAAGGAACGAAATGGAAAGGTAGAGAAACGGATGAAGAGAAAGAGATTGCCGTCTGGAAACTGTTTTGGAAAAATCTAATACATTCTCAGTTGCTACCCGACGAATGATGAGTACGAACTACAGGGAAAGTCACGATGAACGACAACAAGGAAGGTAAGAATATTGTTGTTGCTGCTGGGGATAGCCATGTTAGGTATATGGATATAGGGCCCGTCCTGCCTTGTGAAAGACTGGAGTAGGAGACAGAGAGTTTAATTTCTGGGGCTGGGATGGAGGTTATTGTCTGGGATGGGAAGGATATTTTTAGCCCGTCTGGATGACATCATGAGGAGGTTAATGGGGATAGCAAGCAATCCTATTATCTGTTCAGCAGTGCTGGGAAGGCCATGATGTTGGCAGACGTCAAGGAGGTGGAATAGACCTGGATTAGCAGGTATAGGTAAGCAATAGGATATAATTTAGAGAATGAAAAGTGGGAACCATGGCATATATGGTATTTTTGCAAGAGAAGAGGAGTTGAAAATGAATGGTTGTCCAGGGCAATGGTTGTGTAATTGCTGGCTGGACAAATACTGTAAAGGAAAATTGGGGCGGTAACATCATTGACAACTGGGAACCTCTTCTATGGCAGAAATGAACATGTATGCCAGGGGGGGTGGTGGGGTTCACTTATCTAGGTCTGGGGTGAGGAGCCAGCAGAAAAGAGCACTGCAACTGCATGGGGGACGCTGTTGGACTTTTTATACTAGGAATAGTTAGTGGTATATGGGTTGGTTTTGGCAGGGAAAAACAGTTGAATGTCCCGGCTTGTAGTAATATAATGAGTTCTAGGGGAACTAGGTAATAAGCAGAACGAGGTAGAATATTGAAAAGCCAGTGACATTGGGTGATAAAGACAGTATAGGTTTAGTAGAAAAACTGAAAATGAGCAGGGAAGGGTGGAGAGGAAAGGAGAGTCTTTCAATGTTTATTATGCTATTAGCCGTAGTGCTAGGAATAAGATGGGACGAGTTGGGATTAGTTGTTAGTGCAGGGTTAACATTGAAGTATTTGCCTTAACTGAGGGACGTCGGTTTAATTAAATATGTGGGGACATTGCTAGCAGAATGTCACATTTAGGTTTTTTAAATTGTTCCAATTTTTAGGGAATAGAAGTATCGAGGAAAAGGGGGGGGGGTGGCATTGTATGTCGAGATTCGTTGAAACTGTTGTCATAAAAACGGGTATGGTTATTAAGTCTAAATAACACATACAGAGTCTGTTTGGATAGAATTTTCAGAGGGCTTTGCAAAAACTGATTTAGTAGTGAGTGATATACGTCATCCAATACTTTAGATAGGGACCCAAGGGAGACTGCTATATGGGAGGAAATTGTTGAAGGCCACAAGGCACGATAACTGTTTGTAGTAATTCTCAGGAGACTTTAACTTTACTAGTCATATTGATTGGAATTTTCTTGACATGGGAATTTAGAATCATTACGGAACTTCTTAGAAGTAGTTTCAGGATTGTTTTTTGAAGCAGTTTGTGGCCAGAACCTCAAGGGGAATAAACCTGGTGACTTGTTCTGGCAAACAATGAATCCCTTGTTAATAATTTAGGAAATTTCAGAGGAACTGGGATGCTAGCGACACCAAATCAATTACAATTTAGCATTGAATGGAAGTACGATAGTAGCGATAACTCAGTAAACATTCCCAGATTTCTGCTTAGCAGATTACGATGGGTTAGAGAACACGTATCATCTGTTGAGGGGGTAACGAAGAGAGCTTCAATAGACAGTTTTGGAACACTATACATGCTGCCTCAAAAGAACGTTTATCCCGTATAAAGAAAATTAGATCCAAAATAGAAATGACCCAAAATGTATGAATAATAGGCTCAAATAATCTAATAGGGCATAAGAAAGGAATTTTAGGCGTATCAAAAACGAGGTGAGGATATCTTATGAAATTCAGTATATTGACATTAGAGGGACATAAAAAGGGATAAGAAAAGATAAAAAGGGGACTACAGAAATTATAGTTTGCTAGGGATTCTAAAACTAACCAGAAAGATTTTTTCCCAGAGTCCTATAGAAACAAAAGTTAGAGTAAGATAGGTCCCCTTTAAAAAATAACTATGGGCCATTCATCTTACTGACAAGGAAATGAATGTGCTCGATTTAAATAATTATTTTCTTCTCGGTTTTTACACGGAAGACACTAACAATATTACAGTAAATAATTTTTATAGTGGGCTGAAGAAGATAAATTATCGTAATCTAAATATCACAGTCATAGTGAAATGGTTGTGAAGCAGATAGACAGACTGAAGCAAAATAAGGTCGCCCGGGTTCCTGATGAGGTTTTTTCAAGGGTTCTTAAGGATGCAAAATGGAACTCTGTGTAACCATTAAAAACTAATTATCTTTAATTTATCTCTTCAAAACAGGCCGTAGTGTCTGATATGTGGAGATGGGCTAATGTAATTCCTATTTTTTAAAACAGGGACAAGATCGTTACCGTCAAATTTCCGCCCAATAAGCCTGAACTCAATTGTAGGCAAATTACTAGAGTCAATTATAGTGAGATTTTAAGGAGCCATCTCCGATTAAGCATAGCTTGATTAATGTACTCAGCTGGAGTTCACAAGAGGCGCAGTTTGTCTAACATAATTCCTTGCATTGTTAAAATCTCTAGTAAGCTGATGCATTGCATGGGGATGAGGATGAAAGCTGTAAGCGCTCTCCCTGAAAGCTGCTGCTTGGATCAAACGAGATAGCACAAGCTACACGCCCAAGTATTGTCCAGTGTGGGTAGATTGGTAAAAGCACTGTGTACCTTGTCCTAAGTTCGTAGGATCGAGTCTCCTTCAGCCAGAGATCAGTGTTTGTGTTATTTTCGCCCTGCTCTCCGCGGAATTCCTTATATATATATAATATATATATATTATATATATATATATATATATACTATATATATATATATATATATATATATATATATATATATATATATATATATTATAGGGTGTGCAAAAGAAGAAAATGGAAAGGTGAATACTGGAAAGAGTAAGGTTATGAGGATAACAAAAAGATTAGGTGATATGAAAGATTGAATATCGATTGGAGGGAGAGAGTATTGAGGAGGTGAATGTATTCAGAATATTTGGGAGTGGAGTGTCAGCGGATGGGTTATGAAAGATGAGGTGAATTTATAGAATTGATGAGGTGGAAAAGAGTGAAGTGGTGCACTTAGGAGTCTGTGGAGACAAAGAACTTTGTCTTGGAGGGCAAGAGGGGAATTGTATTAAGAGTATAGTTTTACCAACGCTCTCTTTGTGGTTATGTTGTGAAGCAGGGGGTGGATGAATGTTACAGCGAGGAGAAGGTGGAGGCAGTGGAGATGTCATGTCTGAGGGCAATGTGTGGTGTGAATATAATGAAGAGAATTCGGAGGTTGGGAAAGTTAGGAGAGGTGCTGGATTACCAAAACTGTTGTCCAGGAGGGCTGAGGAAGGGTTGTTGAGGTGGTTCAGGACATGTAGAAGAGGATTGGAGAGAAAAGAATGACTTCAAGGAGTGTATCAGTCTGTTAGTGGAAGGAAGGCGGGGTAGGGGTCGGCCTGGAAAGTTGGAGAGAGGGGGTTAAGGAGGTTTTTGTTGCGAGGGGCTTTGACTTCCAGCAGGCATTGCGTGAGCGTGTTTGATAGGAGTGTATTGGAGACATATGGTTTTTAATACTTGAAGTGCTGTTGGAGTGTGAGCAAAGTTACATTTATGAAGAGGGTTCAGGGAAAACCGGAGGCCGGACTTGAGTTCTGGAATGGGAAGTCGAGTGCCTGGCACTCTGAAGGAGGGGTAGTGGTGTTAAGGTTGCAGTTTAAAAACCTGTAGTGTTAAGGTCACACTTCTGGCAAGGCGTTGATGGAGTGGAATGATGGTGAAGTTTTTCTTTTTCGGGCCACCCTGCCTTGGTGGGAATCGAGCCAGGTGTGATACATAAAAAATATATATATATAATACATAAATATATATTATATATATATATATATTTATATATATATATATATATATTATATATTATATTTATATATATTTTATAGATATATATATATTATTATATATATAACTCTTTTAACTTGCTGGTTAGAAGAATTTAATAATAATGTCTCAGAGCGTCTCATCAGTATCTGTGTTGCTTTAATTAATCTGTTTCTTCTCAGTGGTGTTCTTTTGTAGCTTTTGACACTTTCGCAAAAATATGCAGATTTTATCATGAACACTTGAATCTGATGAGTTCCTTCTGCTGGATCTCTTGCCACTTAAGTTGTTATCTGTCTTTGTTTTCTGAGATTCTTCTGCTTTTCTCGCTTTGAAGTCTGTTTTCACTGTGGACAATCTTCCTCATTGTCTCTGGTAGAAAGTTTCTAAGAGATCTGAGTTTCCTCCCAAAATTTTTGCAAATATGCAATAGTGGTTTGTGTTGCAGTGTTGCTGCTGCTTCCGTCAGAGTAAACCTTGCAGATGCACATTTGATATATAACATGCAAGAATAAGGATATATGTCGATGAAGTTATCAAAAATATTTTGAAAGGAATCATCGAATATCTTCGTGATAACATTTCGTGAAATGCAACAGGACACTTTTTCTTGCATCGGCAAGCTGAGGGCTAATTGGTTTTGGTGGGTAATTTGATGTGATGTTGGGTGGGTTGGACCGCATGGGGTTAGATGGGGGTTATCGTTGGTGTTTGTTTTTATATATATTATATATTTTTTATTTAGTAATATATTTATTGTTATATTTTTATATATACTATATATTATATATATATATATATTATACGTAACAACTGTACCGTATATGCCACCTTTATATTCTTAAAAAAAAACCCAATGTATCGCTAAAAGCTTCTGTGCCATATGATGTATAAATTATTCCTATTGGTTTATAAATGATATGGTTAAAAGAGTGCGGTGGTAGGGGAAGTGGTATATTCATATGGCTTCTGGAAAATGATGCCATTATTCTTCCTTGGAAGAACGTTTTTTCCATTCTCCGTGGCGATGGGTCAAACTTGGGTTCCTGTGGGGGTCCATTAAGTGTGTGTGTAGTGTCTGTTTGGTGTGTGTGTGGTGTGAGTGTGTGTGTCGTAGTTTGTGTTTGTATTTGGTGTTATATGTGTGAAGATTGAGTCATTCTGTTTTTTTGTTAGTCTATATATATTTTTTTTTATATATATATTTATATATTATATTGATTTATATATTTTTATATAATATATATTTATTCGATTTATATTATATTATTTAAAGATAAAATACCATTGTCATAAATTCACAATTGTCGATAGAAAGTAAAAATAAACATAGGTTAACTCAGTGTTACATCTCGAATTCTTCGTCACCAGCTCACCGGCTGTGGGCAGCGTGCCAGAATGCTGCAGGCATTTCTTCTATGGATCGCAACACTGAAGTCTCTTCTGAAAGAGGGAGGAAGCCTGGTCTCCCTGAGTACTTGGTTTCTATTGTATGAGACTTTTCACCAAGCTCTATTAGAACTATAGAGACACTTTGCCCATGCTCAAGGGTCTCCGACCTTATTGGGATGAACATGAAGTTTTAACAAGGGGGAAGGTCTTCATATTTTCGGATCTTCTTGGTCTCCCTGTGGTTGGCTGCTCACCCCTTCCATCGAGTGGAGTATGGCAGTATGTGTCTAGCATGTGGGTCAGCACAGGTGTAGTCCAGGCAATCTACTTTCAATCTTTCCCAAGGTAGCCATAGTAGCTCCATCAGGAAGCTTTTGACTTCCGTCAGACCTCTGCACTGGGGGTTCTAGTTGAGCTGCGAACAACGGGCTTGTGGCGAGGCTTCTTCTTTATGATGTCATGGACCTTCCTCTTTGACTGGCATACTTCTATGCCTTGCATTCTTTCCTCACTTGTCCTGGGCATATAGAGTTATTTGATCTTTTTATATATCCATTGCTTTTTGATTTATATATTTAGATGATTTATATTTTTATACGATAATATATATTAATATACTTTATATATATTTATAGTTATTTATATATGTCGTGGCCGACCCCCGTAAATAGGCAGAGAACTTGCGATTTGGCTTAAATAGCAAGGTCTGACCAGGGCCAAGTGTGCTTAATCACCCCCCCCCCCCCCCCCCCCCCCCCCCCCCCCCCACCCCCACCCCCCCCCCCCCCCCACCACCCCCCCTCTCCCACCCCTGGGGATATTTGTGGTTGATTGTTTGGGCGCACTTTTGATGGAGGTAGAATTCCTTACGGAAAATATTTATTTCTCTGGGTTTGTTGTGGAGTATAGTTTTGTAATCATTATCTAAATATTGGTTTGGGTGGGGTGTGGTGGCAGTTTGTTTGGGGGGCTGGGGGAGTTTGTTGGGCTCGTGGGCGGTGGGGGGGAGTGTGGAGGGGGGGGGATTTTGGGTTTTGGGGGCAGTATGTATTATGTTTGGTATATTTGTGTGAGGTTTAAGGTGTTCTGTGTTTTGGGGTGTTTTGGTAGGTTGGGGTTTTGAGTGAGGGAGTTTGGTCTGGGGTACTGTGTCACAGGATACGTCTGTGTGTGGGTGTGAGTGTGGGTTCGGTGTGTAGTTGTGTGTGTGTGTGTGGTGTGTGTGTGTGAGTGTCGTGTGTGTGTAGTAGTGTGTGTACCCGTCCGTTCTCACCCCCCGTGCATGGTGTGATGTGAGTGTGCGTGAGTTTGTGTATATGTGTGTGTGTGTGTGATCGTTTGTGTGTGTGTGTATGTGATATTTTATAAGATAATTTAATAGATATTTATTTATGATATTTATTTATTATTATTATTATATATATCTATCATGTAATATATATATATATATATTTATATATTGATATATATAATATATAATATATATATATATATATATATATTTATATATTTATTTATATAAAACAGTCGTCATCATTATCACCTAACTCCTGAACATTATATCTCCTCTCTCACTTCGCCTTCAGTTTATTTTTTTCTCCTTCCTCATGTTTTTGGTTACACTACTCTGTCCACCTTCCCTTTCAGGAATTAAATGAAGGAAGTTCGTGGCGTGGAGGAGGTAAAGGATGGCGGTAGAGAGGAAGCACGGGGGGGGGTGGAAGGGAGGAAACATGAGTGAGAGGTTAGCACATATATAAGCGTCCACACATTCACGGTGTCAACAGTCGTGTTACAAGTGTCAACAACGACATGCAGGCAAGTGTTGGTCAGCGAGGTCTACTCATCTGTTTGTTGCTGCCGAGGTCGAGTCTCGGTTCCTGTGCCTGGTTAAATTGATTGTTACCAGCCATGACAGAGGCGACACCTGTGATTACAGATCTGTACTCACCTAACTGTGGTTGCAGGGGTCGAGACTCAGCTCCTGACCATGCCTCTTCACTGAGTGCTACTAGGTCCTCTCTCTCCCTGCTCCATGAGCTTTATCATACCAGCAGCAGACCTCAGCTCCGGGTGTCCTGTTTTCAATATGTATTCATAATTTTTTTTTTTCATTTTCCACGGGCTGTGATACATTCCATTGTTCTGTTACGAAGTGAAAAAAAAATGAATTCGTATTATCATTCCGGTGCGGGTTTTTTTTTTTCGTTTACTGTTGTGGTTCAATGTTCACGCGTTGCTGGCGGGCAGAAAACATTATCGATTCTACTGTGTTTATTTAAGACTTTCTAAGTTTTTATTATTATAGCTGAACTTTTGGTCCTATAGCGTATTTAGCCTTCCTTAGGACCTTTTCTTACCGACTCATTTTTTTTTTTTAGTAAGAGTCATTTTATGCACTGTCATTTTTTAATTGAGATTTTGTTTGGCGCGGAGTTATTTTTTTGCAATGTTAGTCGCAGTGTTGTTATTAATTAAATACCACCCGTTCGTGATTACAGTACTATATATACTGCTTGTGGAGGCTAGTACACCAAACGTGAAGTATAATGAAATTAGCTCTGAGGCACCCACACCATCGTTTGTCTTCGGATCATGGTACAACACCTAGACTCTGGTGGCTCCCCCCCTGCTGTTGATTTTCATAGGAATGTATTGTCCCGTGGGTTTAGCGTAGTGAATTTTCGCTCACAATGAGGCGGGCTAAATGGCAACATGGGTTCGATCTCCCCAGCTATGTCGCTAGATCGCAAGTCAGGTAAAGACTCGATACAGTACTGAGGTGGAATAGATTCCAGGCAACTCTTAATCAACTCTGCATCACAAATGTCCACATAAGTGGCAGCCATGGTACACTAGCCATGTTCTTTCCAGCACGGGACTTCAGTCAGCCTCAAGTATGGATTCAAACTATTTCAAGAGATTGTCCTGCTGCCTGCGATCTTTGTCAGTATATACCAACTTGTTTCTGCGTGGTGCATTGATGTAAAAAAATCACATGAGAGGTCAGAACATACAGGAGGAGACTGAAATAGCTTGAGTCCATGCTTGAGGCTCACTGACGTGCCCGGGCTGGGAAAGAAACATGGCTTGTGAAACAGGCTGCCCAGTCTGTGGCATTTGTGATGGCCGAGTGAATCTTGTCCGCCCCCAGTAGCAGTTATCGAGCCCTTGCTGACTTACGATCTCACTCTCTCTCTCTCTCCTCCTCATATTATATATATATATATATATTATATATATATTATATATATTATATATATATATATATATATATTTATATTTACTATATATATATTATATATATATATATATATATATATATATATATATATATATATATATATATATATATATATATTATATAATATATATATATTTATATATGACCTCTAGCTAATTTCATTCTGTCCGTTTGGTTGTGTACTAGTTCAACGAGCAGTGTATTTTATAGCGCATTGTGACCACGAACGAGTGGTATTGATCAATAACAACACTGCACTAGCCAAGGAATCGAACCCAGTCCCGCTGGATGCGCTACTCTTAGGAATCGTATGGTTCACAGTGGATAAGGGCGTCATGTTTTCCCCCCGCCCCCCACCATGAGGCAGGCAAAGCAGCATGGTTCGAGTCCTTGGCTACTGCAGTTTGTTGTTATTGTTCAATACCTACTTGTTCGTGGGTCACAATAATATATATTAGATATATATATATATATATATATATATATATATATATATACTATTATATATATATTTATATATATTATATATATATATACAACATATATATATATATATATATAATATGTATGTAATATATATATATATAGTACTTTCTATATATATATTATATATATATTTATATAATATATATTTATATATATATTATATATATTATTTTATTTTATTTTCACCATGGCGATTCCACCAAGGCAGGGTGGGCCCGAAAAGAAAAACGTTCACCATCATTACTCCAATCACTGTCTTGCCAGAAGGAGTGCTTTTCACTACGTTTTTAAAACTGCACATAACACCCCTCTCAGAGTGGGGGGGGGGGGGAAAGGCACTGTACTTCCCACTCCAGGACTCAAAGTCCGGCCTGCCGGTTTCCCTGATACCCTTCATAAATGTTACTTTGCTCACCACTCCACAGCCGTCCAAGTATAAAAACATTTGTCTCCATTCACTCCTATCAGAACTCGCTCACGCTGCCTGCTGGAAGTCCAGCCCCTTGCACCACAAAACCTCCTTTGACCCCCTCCTCCCCCCCCCCAAACCTTTTCTGGCCGACCCCTACCCCGCCTTCCTTCCACAACAGACTGATACACTCTTGAGTTATTCTGTTTCGCCTCCATTCTCCACATGTCGAACCACCTCAAAAACCTTCCTCAGCCCTCTGGACAACAAGTTTTGGTAATCCCGCACCTCCTCTAATTTCAAACTACGAATTCTCTGCATTTATTCACACCACACATTGCTTCAGACAGACATCTTCCACTGCCTCCAGCCTTTCTCCTGGCTGCAACATTCATCACCATGCTTCACAACCCAGAATAAGAGCGTTGGTAAAAACTATACTCTTCATACATTCCCCTCTTGCCTCCAAGGGACAAAGTTCTTTGTATCCACAGACTACTAAGTGCACCACTCACCGTTTCCCTCTTTTACATTCTATGATTTCACCTCATTCTTTCATAGACCATCCGATGACACGTCCACTCCAAAATATCTGAATACATTCACCTCCCCCCCTCATTACCCTCTCTCCCTCCAATCTGTTATCCAATCTTTTCATCACCTATAATCGTTTTGTTAATTCTCATAAACCTTACTCTTTCCTGTATTCACTTTCAATTTCTTCTTTTGCACACCCTACCAAATTCCCCCCCCCCCCCCCCCCCCCATCCACCATTCTCTGCATACTTCTCTTCAGATTCTCCCAAGGCACAGTGTCATCAGCAAAAGAGCAACTTGTGACAACTCCACTTTACTTTATGTGTGATTCTTTATCTTTTAAACTCACGGCACTTTGCCAAGACCCTCGCATTTATTCTCTTACAACCCCCCCCCATCTATAAATAATATTAAAACAACCACGGTGACATCACACATCCTTGTCTAAGGCCTACTTTTACTGGGAAATATTTCCCTCTTTCTACATACTCTAACTTGAGCCTCCATATCTGTTAAAACTCTCACTGCTTGCAGTAACCATACTCCTACACCATACACTTGCAACATCTGCCCCATTGGCCCCCCTTTCCACCCTGTCATAGCCTTTTCCCAAATCCATAAATCGCCACAAAGACCTCTTTGCCTTATCTAAATACTGTTCACTTATATATATATATATATATATATATATATATATATAATTATATATATATATATATATATATATATATATATATATATATATATGATTTGAAGAGAGAATAAAAATGAAAAACGCAATGAAAATCCATAAACACCCACACTGGATTCCTCACTTTTTCCAAATTCTTGTACAGTCCATGTTGCAGTCTCGTCTTTCTTGTACGGTTGTCATCTCTTCAAGAAGAAACTGCAGCTTCAGCTTCTCTGCCTTCGTCTTGAATATTTTAGTATTGTCATTTCAGTTGACTATTTGGAGTTTCATTATTATTACATTTAAAAAAATCGTTTAGTCCGTATGAGTTATACAGCGCCAGAGTGGGATTTAAATCAACTACTTCTTGAAGAGGAAAAATAAGAAAGCTACTCAGTGTGGCTTAATTGCCCTGGGATTTTCTTGGGAGATAAGGAGATCAGTTTTTAAAGGGCTGGCTTGGTAAGCCAGTAGAAACCTTCGGTCAGATGACCAAAAACTCCAGTAGCTGGTCATCATATGGCTAATGACTCACGACTGCAAACAAACCACGGTATGGGCGGGGATTAAACTCGCGGTGAGTGAGTCGTAAAATTCCAGACCGACGTGTAGCCAGCTGGCCCAGTGGCTAACTCGTCGGTCTGGAGGTTTACAACTCACTCTCCGCGAATTCAATCCCCGCCCGTACCGTGGTTTGGGTCATATGACTAAGACCCGAGTCAGGAAGCACTTATCCTGTTTCTTGACCAATCTTACCTAACCTAACCTCTTAAGATGCAACTAGAACCAGTCGACTGGCACTCCGGTACCTATGTATTTATTGCTTGGTAAAAGGGAAACAGCAGATGTTTGAACACTTTTCATAGATCTCTTTCCATCCAGGATTGAATGTGCGGCCTTCGAGTGTTAGCCGAAAGTGTTAATACCAGGCTACAAGGTGTGTATTCACTTACATGTGTTTGCAGGGTTGGGTCCTAGCTCATGGCCTCGCTTCTCAACTTGTGTGTGTACTCACCTAGTTGACGGACTGTGTGTGTGTGTGTGTGTGCTAACCTAGTTGAGGTTGCAGGGGTCGATCCCAAGCTCCTGGCCCTGTGTGTGTGTGTGTGTGTGTGTGTGTGTGTGTGTGTGTGTGTGTGTGTGTGTGCTCACCTAGTTGAGGTTGCAGGGGTCGAGTCCAAGCTCCTGGCCCTGTGTGTGTGTGTGTGTGTGTCACCGTATTACTGTCTCACACAGTGTCTCTGAAGCCGTGTTTATACTTTCAGGAGTGTGTCTCACTTACCGTGTTACTCTGCCTCACACTGTGCCATGCTCTTCCTAGCGGCGGCCGCCAGGATGATGTAGACTTCCTACCCAGCCTCTCACGTCACGTCTTATCACGATCATCAAGCTTGCACCCCACTCCCCAGACCAAAGACTCTCCCTACTTCGTCTCCGTGGGGAGGCTGGAGTCGGCCAACCACCCCACCTCCTTCTCTCTCCCAACTCACGATAATCCCTCCATACACCCTACTAATCAACAAATTGGCTCCTCTTTCGCCGGTTTAGACTCCTCTCTTCCCTCATCTCCTTCCATCAGCTCCTATGAAGAGTATCACTCCCCCAACATCAGGGTCACTCATCCATCTCAGGGTCACACAGTGTCACCATTAGTCCCTAACCTCAGTCGTGATAGCATCGCATCTTCCGCAGACAACAATCTTAGCCATGGAGGAACAATAACTTCTCAAGGCTTCCCTTCATATAGTCCCACAGTTCCCACCAGAGCTAACGATTCTTTCTTCACCAGCCATGTTTCAGCTTTGAATCCTCAAGTCTCTCGTGATTTGTTTCCTCCCTCCAGTGCTTCTTCTCCTTCTCCTCCCCTTAGTTATAAAACTCCGGAGACCTTCCAAACGCATCAAAGGTCCCTCGCGTCCGCTCCTTCGGTATACTTCAAGGTGGATGACTCTTCCACTTTCTCTGATGCTGTGCCCTTCAGGTCTCCATCCTCCGTGTCTCAGGTGCAGCAGGTGACACCACAGGTTTTTGCTGCCTCCGTCCCACACCTGGCAGGTGGTCATCCTCTCACAGCCTCACACAAGATATCTGCTGAGCACGACGTAAGTTCTAAACCTCTGAAATCTTTGCACTAATTTAAAAAACTGCACTGCTTATGAAAGAGGCCTATGGTAGACATATTATTACAAAGGCTCTGAAGCAGCATCACAGTAAATTGTCACGTGACCTGTTCACCCAGAAGAGCTCATACAAAGTAACGTAGTTGTAGTTGGTTTTAAAGCATAACATTGAAGCCATGTGGGAAAACACACAAGTACGAAGAATAAGCTTTCTTTGGACAAAGTTCCTCTTTAAAAACACCTTTATCCTGTAATTATGGATTTGTTTGTTACAAAGTAGCCGTAGTCTAATTATATAAATAATAATAATAATAATAATAATAATAATAATAATAATAATAATAATAATAATAATAATAATAACAGTATAGGCACTCCTCACTTAACAACAGAGTGCCGTTCCGTGCTGCTTCTTCCACTCTTTCCTCTTTTTCCCTCTTCCAAGTGCTGCTGCGCCCTCAACTCAATTCCCCTCAAGGAAGGTTCCTTGATGTTGGTGAGGGGCTCTTGATTTAGGGAATTGGATCTGTGCTCCAGTTCCCCAAATTAAGCCTGAATGCCTTCCACATCCCCCCCCAGGCGCTGTATAATCCTCCGGGTTTAGCGCTTCCCCCTTGATTGTAATAATAATAATCTCAACTCAATTACATCTTCGTTAGTTAGCTCTCTGTCGACATAGTCCACTAGTTCATCAATATCTTCCACTTCAACTGGTCAAAGAGCTGGTTGTAAGTCCGCGAGGTCATTAATTAAACAGGTATGTTGTTAAATAAGGAGTGTCTACCAGGAGGGTATTTCGGGGATCAACGCCCCCACAGCCCAATCCACGACCAGGCCTCCCAGTGGATTTGGGCCTGATCAACTAGCCTGTTACTGCTGGCTGCACACAATCCAACCTTCGAACCACAGCCCGACTGATCCGGCACTGACTTCAGGTATCTGTCCAGCTCTCTCATGAAGGCAGCCAGGGGTCTGTTGGTAATTCCCCTTATGGCTGGTGGGAAACTGTCGAACAGTCTTGGGGCCCGGACACTTACTGAGTTTTCTCATAGTGAACTGAAGTGTCTGTAACTAATAATTTTATTTCAAATAACTGATCAAACTATATAATGACTGATAGCCCATAGTGTAGGTCCTTGGGAATGACATTATTATTTGTAGCAGTTGCAGTGTTAGTATTACATTCTTGGAGAGAGCTAAGTTTGTAGAGGTCAAACAGCGCTTTAGGGAATGGAAGGCATTCCGGCTCGATTACAGGAACTGAAGCACAGATTCAATTCCTTGGATCAAAAGCCCCTGAGCAGCATCAAGGAGCCTCCCGTAAGGGGGGGGGGGTTAAGCATTTTTAGGAGAGTGTAGAATTTTTGGGGAGTCCCATTGTTTCTCTCACTGACCAGCCTGTCACTCCCTCAGGCCTGGGAACTAATGCCCAAAAGGATTTAAATCATCAGATCAGAGGACTCACAGGTAAGGACCCACGAGGGGCGAGGGCAAGTGGGGACAGTGCGAAGAATAGACGGTGAGAGGAAATCAAGATGCACTTCTGTAAACCATTTTGGGGGCCTAGTTCCTAGGCCTTTTATGTAATCCATATGCTCTTGCACTACTGTCCACAGGATGGATAGGGGGTGCACATAAACTAGCCACTTCGCCGGCAAAATCTAATCTATCTAATCTCTTGTACAGGTGAGTCCCGAGTACTCCTTCAGCTACGACGTGGTCAGCCCTGCTGTCCTCTCCTCATACGGAGAGAACAAGGAAGAGGAGAACATCTTCTTCGGTCACGCAGAACAAAGGAAGGGGTACAGGACGGAAGGGCAGTACTATGTCAAACCTTCCAGACGGAAGAACCCAGCTCGTCAAGTACTACGCTGACGAGACCGGCTACCATCCTACCATAACTTACGTCTAGAGTGCCTGACATTGCCATACTGCTGTATTGTACATGTAAAGGAAGTGGCTACCATACTGCCATATTCCACTTCTAAAGGAAGTGCCTGTCGTACTAGCGTCTTCTAGGTCTGGGAGAATTGGCTACCATGCTGCCTACTACACACTATGTCCAGAGGAAGTGCTTACCATACTACTTTTGTCTAGAGGAAGTGTCTACTATACTGCCTATGTCTAGAGGAAAGTGTCTACCATAGTACCTACTACAACCTGCATTTAAAGGAATTGGCTCCCATACTACATACTACAACCTACATCTAAATGAAGTAGCTGCCATAGCTACTACCTTCTACAACCTACATCTAAATGAAGTAGCTGCCATAGCTACTACCTTCTACAACCTACATCTAAATGAAGTAGCTGCCACAAAACATATAAAGTACGACTAGTTACCAGATATGTTTTGCTACGTATAATGGCGGTTACTTCAAGAGCAGAGGCTTCCAAAATTTTTTCAGTAGAGGGCCACATGACCAGAAATTCATACATATGAGAGCTGCATAAATATTTTATTGCTCATGAAATCGTAATAACACGACTACAAACAAGCTATGGAACAGGTGGGGGTCAAACCCATGACGAGTGAATTTTATGACTCTACCAGTTCAGTGGTTTGTTTATTGCTAACAGTGCTGAAGCGTAGCTTGTAAGATATTTAAAAATAAGAATTTTTAGTGATAATAAAAATTAAAAAATCTTTTCATGGACTTTATTAGCACAAAAGTGGACAATTATAACCAAATGGAAAAAAAATTATAACAGACTAAATAATTCTTGAGACCTGTGGGTGTATTCACTTAGGCTTGGGCATCGGTCTATTGTTGGCCTCCTTCCGTCCTTCTCAGCACTCCATGTCCAGTTGATGACACTGTGACCATCCGGGCCTGATCGTGAGATCATGCCGTAGGTGATGCCATCCCAGTCTTCGGACGTCTTGATGGCTATTGAAATCCACATCTGTGACGTCCTCTTCCTCGCAGGCCACTTGAACGACCACGACTCTTCCTGATTGCTAGCGCACTCAGCTCACACACTGAGGTCCGGGGGTTGATCCCCGTTTTGGGTGGAAACATTGGTATGCATTTCCTTAAGGCTCCTGCTGTCCATGTTCATCAATCAATAAAATATGCGCCTGGGTGTTAGTCGACTGGTGTGGATCGCATCCTGGGGACAAAATTGACTTAATTTGCCCGAAATGCTCTTCATAACAAGGAGCTATGTCAGCTATGGTTTGTATACCTTGTACATGTACTTGTAGAAATAAAGATTATTATTATTATTATTATTATTATTATTATTATTATTATTATTATTATTATTATTATTATTATTATTATTATTATTATTGTTGTTGTTGTTGTTGTTGTTGCTGTTGTTATATCCTGAGACACACGGGCAGATGCTGCCCTGGAAGCGAAAAGTTCGGCCAACAGCTTTGCACCAGGAGGGGATGACACTAATTATGGCATTCCCGGAAGGTCATGATGTGTCATCAGCCGAACATTGCTCTGAACAGCATTAACTTCCAACACCTTCTATTAGCAAAATGCCACATACTACAACAGGGCTCCCTTCCTTCTTAATTATGTCTATTTCTGTTCTATAAATTCTGACTAAATTTTAACTTCTACTCTTGCCTACATCATTACCTCCAGCACTGAGGCAAATAATAAGACTGATTCCACCAAAATTCATGACGCTGTCAAGCCGGCTAAGAATTATCCTTCATCCCAGCACAAAGAAAGCAAACCTTTTGTCACTCTTATTCTTAAAGCAGAAAGCCGTTCCTAATCTGTCTTCTACACAAAGACGAATGGTGAAGACTGAGACACTTATGCAACATATGGGAATCTTTATTTAGGAAACGTTTCGCCACACAGTGGCTTCATCAGTCCAATACAAAGCAGAAGGGTGTAAGGAGAGGAGGAGTGTGAGGTAATTAGTCCCTCAGCCTGTAGTCGATGGTTTTCAAAACCATTCATCACGAATGGTGAAGATCAGATGGAGTTTGAGGTAATGAGTCCCTCAGTTCTACGCTTGCCTAAACCATAGGCCTGACCTACTTCCACCTGTGAATTTGTCCACTGTGACACTGCCTATGACTGCTCCACTTCACCTGTCTGCAGTACATAAGCTCCTTCGCGCATATACTGTATTCTTACGAAGATTAATAGGTATATTACATCGACTCCAAGTTGGGGGACTGATTTCCTCAATTTCCTGATCTACGCAAGTCTTCTTTGAAATGGCCTGATGAAAGCAATGTATGGCAAAACGTTTTCACAATAAAGATACCCAAGTGTAGCACAAGTGCCTAATATATCACTCCGGAGGTTATAATACAGGTCTATTTATCATTAGTAAGGCCTCCATGATCTTTAAAAACCCCTTTTCAATTTGTCCTTGATTATCCAGCAGGTTTTATTTCATAGTCGCGTTTAGTCACCTTAATCACCTCATAACTTCTAAAATTGGGCAATAAGGTTAACCTCCAGTATATTTTTTTCCTGCCAATAAGAGCTTTAGCCTCCTTATCATCCATTTAGGGTCGTTTTTACTTAGTTTATTTTTTCTCACTTGAATATATTTTCTTTGGGCACGTTGTACAGTATTAAGACAAAGTTATATTCACAGATCATATCATTATTGTTAGAACCATTTCAACAGATGTATACCGTTATCAGATTCACAATATAAGAACATAAAAAAGGAGGAACACTGCAGCAGGCCTGTTGGCCCATGCTGGGCAGGTCCTAAAATTAACAACCACCCCCACTGCTTGAGTTACATCAACCATTATTCAATTGAAAATGTCTATGGTACATAAAAAACTAGGTAATAGAGTCAAGTGTTGCAAATGTGTCTTATCTATCAATTTGTCGACACTGTGGTGACGTGTACTCAGTGGTGACGTGTACTTCAGTGGTGACGTGTACTTAGCTCTGCGAAGACCTGTTTGCGCGCTCTCTACGAATTGAAGCAAGATGCCCTCCATCGAGCAACTTTACCAACAGCTTAAGGAAGAATTGAGGATGGCGAAGATGGGATTCGGCGACTGGCCGAGGAAAACAAGAAGATTCGTAGTAGTCCTCCTGTTTTGAGTCCTCAGGTCAAGAAAGGAAACTGGTCAGTGGCTGGACAGCAGGGAACGAAGTTGACGATCAACAAGACGAATGGAAAGGTAGAAACGATGAAGAAGAAGGAGACTGCCGTGGAAACTGTTGTGGAAACATCTAATACATTCTCAGTGCTACCCGACGAATGTGAGTTGACTACTGGGAACGTCACGATGAACGACTCCAAGGAAGGTAAGAATATTGTTGTTGTTGGGGATAGCCAAGTTAGGTATATGGATAGGGCGTTCTGCTTGAAGGACAGGAGTAGGAGACAGAGAGTTTGCTTTCCTGGGGCTGGGATGGAGGATATTGTTAGCCGTCTGGATGACATCATGAGAGGTAATGGGAGCAATCCTATTATCTGTCTCAGTGCTGGAGGCAACAATGTTGGCAGACGTAGGAGTGACGACCTGATTACCAGGTATAGGTCAGCAATAGAAATAATTAGGAAGAAGGGTGGGAACCCTGTCATATGTGGTATTTTGCCAAGGAGAGGAGTTGGAAATGAATGGTTGTCCAGGGCAATTGGTGTCAATTGCTGGCTGGACAAATACTGTAAGGAAAATGCGGTAACATTCATTGACAACTGGGACCTCTTCAATGGCAGAAATGACATGTATGCCACGAACGAACGAACGAAAGTTCAGGTAAGATCCCAAATGGGATGAGCGGGGAAGACGGGACAGACGAAGAATAGTGGAAATATAAACACATATGCAGTATAATGTGATCCTTTATTGACAACGTTTCACCCACACAGTGGGATTTTTCAAGTCACACACAGATCTACCTGGGGCGGAAGGTACGGGAGTATTTATAGTCATGTTCAGAATGTTGAGGTCAGGTGGAGAATGCTGCATCTGATGATCTACCAGGTGGAGTTATAGAGTCTTGGGTAGCTTGGCTGGGATATTGGACAAGTTGTGAGTAGACCTTCTGCAGTGTTCTATGTTCTTATGTGGGATAGCAATGAAGAAGTTTCTTGGCGAGTGGTTCAGCTATGTTATAGAAGCCGTTGTTCTGGTTGAAATTGTTGGTTATAGAGATAAGCGATGATTCCAGGATTCTTCGGTATTGAGTGTTGTCTTCTGTGGCGATAAGTCTTGAGTTTCTGTAGTTAATTAAATGGTTGTGTGAATTGCGATGTTGTACACAGGCATTCCTTGTATCGTCAGTCCTGCTTGCATATTGGTGTTCTGAAATACGTGTTTGGAGGTCTCTTGATGTTTCGCCCACATATAATTTGTTGCAGTCATTACAAGGGATTATGTTGTTAGGTAAGACACATATGCAACAGTTAGGTATCTTTATTATGAAACGTTTCGCCTACACAGTAGGCTTCTTCAGTCAAGTACAGAAAAGTTGATAGAAGCAGAAGATACTTGAAGACGATGTAATCAGTCCATCACCCTTAAAGTTTGAGGTGGTCAGTCCCTCAGTCTGGAGAAGAGCATTGTTCCATAGTATGAAACAATATGGAGAAGAAGTGACAGGATGGAGCTTTTTATAGCGCCAAGAGGTGAGACGTAGGCCACTAGGAGAGGTAAGAACTCAGATGTTGAGAGGTCAGGTCCCTCTCAACTCCAGCCCCTCTCACTAGTGGAAGTTGTCGAAGTTGATTGCAGGTCTGTACCAAGATACCCTTGTGTTGCAGTGTCTGACAGATTGAACATTAAAATGGTATAAAATACCGACAGGTTGTTAGGTAAGACACATATGCAACAGTTAGGTATCTTTATTATGAAACGTTTCGCCTACACAGTAGGCTTCTTCAGTCAAATACAGAAAAGTTGATAGAAGCAGAAGATACTTGAAGACGATGTAATCAGTCCATCACCCTTAAAGTTTTGAGGTGGTCAGTCCCTCAGTCTGGAGAAGAGCGTTGTTCCATAGTATGAAACAATATGGAGAAGAAGTGACAGGATGGAGCTTTTATAGCGCCAGGAGGTGAGACGTAGGCCACTAGGAGAGGTAAGAACTCAGATGTTGAAAGGTTAGGTCCCTCTCAAACCCAGCCCCTCTCACTAGTGGAAGTTGTCGAAGTTGACTGCAGGTCTGTACCAAGATACCCTTGTGTTGCAGTGTCTGACAGATTGAACATTAAAATGGTATAAAATACCGACAGGTTGTTAGGTAAGACACATATGCAACAGTTAGGTATCTTTATTATGAAACGTTTCGCCTACACAGTAGGCTTCTTCAGTCAAGTACAGAAAAGTTGATAGAAGCAGAAGATACTTGAAGACGATGTAATCAGTCCATCACCCTTAAAGTTTTGAGGTGGTCAGTCCCTCAGTCTGGAGAAGAGCATTGTTCCATAGTATGAAACAATATGGAGAAGAAGTGACAGGATGGAGCTTTTATAGCGCCAGGAGGTGAGACGTAGGCCACTAGGAGAGGTAAGAACTCAGATGTTGAAAGGTTAGGTCCCTCTCAAACCCAGCCCCTCTCACTAGTGGAAGTTGTCGAAGTTGATTGCAGGTCTGTACCAAGATGGGTGATGGACTGATTACATCGTCTTCAAGTATCTTCTGCTTCTATCAACTTTTCTGTACTTGACTGAAGAAGCCTACTGTGTAGGCGAAACGTTTCATAATAAAGATACCTAACTGTTGCATATGTGTCTTACCTAACAACCTGTCGGTATTTTATACCATTTTAATGTTCAATCTGTCAGACACTGCAACACAAGGGTATCTTGGTACAGACCTGCAATCAACTTCGACAACTTCCACTAGTGAGAGGGGCTGGGTTTGAGAGGGACCTAACCTTTCAACATCTGAGTTCTTACCTCTCCTAGTGGCCTACGTCTCACCTCCTGGCGCTATAAAAGCTCCATCCTGTCACTTCTTCCCATATTGTTTCATACTATGGAACAATGCTTCTCCAGACTGAGGGACTGACCACCTCAAAACTTTAAGGGTGATGGACTGATTACATTGTCTTCAAGTATCTTCTGCTTCTATCAACTTTTCTGTACTTGACTGAAGAAGCCTACTGTGTAGGCGAAACGTT